AGATAAGGACACACAATACTGCACTTTGTCCTGATTCTCTCCTTCCCCACGGTGCTCAGACCCTTTCATCCAGGGCCCTTTCAACAGCCCCGGGAAGGGCTTTCTCCCGTTTTTCTCCAGCTGGTTTTCTCTTGGCCATGAACAGGATTTCCTGGGGCTTTAGAACGACAGCACCCAGAGAGCTCAGGAGGCAGGACCTGCTCTAAATGTTCCAGAAACTTACATTCCTCTGCATCAACTATAGGCCAAGAAGACACATTCTTCCATTCTCCCACACTTTCCTCAAGACGAGCATGAAACTCATTTGGGAAAAAGCAGCTCCATTTCCACTGGTCTTTAAGAAAGTAGCGTATAGTCCTAGAGCTTGTGCCTCTGTGTAAACAGATTCACGTAAAGGAAAAAAAAAAAAAAGAAAAACCAGAGAAGACAGACAGGAGGGAAACACACTGCAGTAGACCACAAAGCATTCGGTCTTTTTTTTATTTGTTTTTCATTTAGAGACACCGCCCTCCCCCTGCAGCTGCCAGTCCAGGAGGCCAGAGTCTATACTGACGGGGTCTGTGCCTGACCAGGGGCCAAGCTGTGTCCGTGTCCTCGGGCTCTGTACGCCCAAGTGCTACACGACCCCAAGAAGGCCCTGATTTACTGGGGACCTCCCTCTCTGCCAACGATTGTTTTGTACATTCAGGTTCCAGGCCCTGCTGGCAGAGTGAACTTTTGGGCAATTGTGCAAGTCACGCAAAACAGCTGAAGCTCTAAATAGGGACCATGGACACCCACCTCCCCCCAAACCCCTGAAACACACTTTTTGCTCTGTGTTCTAAAGCAAAGAAGCTGAGTCCCACTCAAGCAGGGCCTGAGCTATCTGGACAAGGCGCTGACTCCCAGCACCAGCCGCGCCCCAGGACATGCAGCCCACTGAGAACGGCCACGGGAGCCAAACTGGGAGTCCAGTCGGCCCCAGCATCTGACAGGGGTCACGCTCAGAGCCTGTCACTCAATAAATGCTTTCTGAATGAATGGAGCAGAATGGGATTTTCAAGGAAAAAAAAAAAAAAAGGATAGAGCACAGGATGAAAGAGCAGCCTGATTTTAGCAGCGGTTAATTCGACCCTCTAAGTGTGTGCAGTATCTCCCAAGTCCAAACAGGGGATGGAGGGGTGGGCACACCCTGGGGGCAGCTCCAGTCTCAGGGGTCCTCACGTCCTGCCTCTGCTTGGCTCACCCACCCGGTATGTACAGCAGCTGTTTCCAATCCCTGCCCCGCCCCTCACCTCCTGGGACCCCTCCAGAAAGCTGTTCCCTTTCTCCCCCAAATCTTCAACCTGCCCTCCACCCTGAACTCCTGCTATAAGAAGGTTCTAGGGGATCCCCAGGTGGCTCAGTGGTTTGGTGCCTGCCTTTGGCCCAGGGCGTGATCCTGGAGACCCGGGATCGAGTCCCGCATCAGGCTCCCTGCATGGAGTCTGTTTCTCCCTCTGCCTGTGTCTCTGCCTCTCTCTGCGTGTCTCTCATGAATAAATAAATAAAACCTTTAAAAATTTTTTTAAATAAATAAATAAATAAAATATATTTTTTAAAAAAGGCTCTAGACTTTCCCATTCTGAAATAAACCTGCCTTCTCTCTCCTATGACCCCCATCTCCCTCCGGCTATCACCTCCTCTGCTCTTCTCCCCTCTGCACCCCACCACATTTTGCCCCTGACTCTACCCACTCATGAACCAACAACCCCCTAAATAACTGAACCCAGTATTTTCCAGCGCTCTTCTGACTTGTCAACCTCACCTCTCCATGAAAAAGACTCCTTTCGGTTTCCTTGACACTGCAGCCCTCCTGGCTTGCCTCTAGCATCCCTCTGCTGGTCCCCTTAAGTGGAAGTATTGTTCCCTTCTGTCTTGGGCCCTCTCACAACCCCCCAACTGCTTCCCATACTGGTGCCCCCTCTAAGCTGCATCTCCAGCCAGGGTACTCTCATAGCTGCCGGGTCTGTGGAGTGCACTCCCCCGTGAGACCACCACTCGGATATGTCATGGGGGCCTCAAATCCACCTGCCCTACACCAGCCTCTGGGTTCCCCCACCTAAGTGAGGTGCCTGCCCAGGTACCTAAGGCAGACACTTCAGATTCATGTCATTGGCCCCTTCCGCACCACATCCTGTCCATTAGCTCCTCGCATCCCCGCTGCCACTACTGGGGCTCATCACTCTGACCCTCTGGACCCCTGTTTGAGTGAGGGGTGCAGGCTGGCGGTTAGGATGGGTGCTGAGGCTGTGTTTACACAGCACTTTATAACTGAAAAGTCACCAATGGGATCAGAGTAGGCAGGGCAGAGATGATGGAAATTTCAACTAACTAACCCCCTAACTCCTTCCTGGCCTCTCCCCCATCCCCCACTCACAGATCACTCAGCTTTCTGGGACATGAATCTTTCACACATCTGCTCCTTCTAAAAAACACTCTGATGGATCCCTGAGGGTCCCTGCTTCCTTAGCTGGATGCATGGCCCTGAACAATCTCCTTCCCACTTACTTCCACACCCTAAAGGATTCCTTCACAAGTGCTCCCAATTCATGCCTTCGCCCATGCTGTTTCCTCTACCTGAAGCGCTCTTCCTCCCCTTTTCACCTGTATAACATCCTCCTTTCATCCAGGGAGCATTCGTTTTAGGTCAAACTGGCTCAGATCACAAAAGTGAGAAAAGGTTCAACGTCAACACCTTTTATTATTCTGGTACAAAGAACATCCTTACTAGACCTCCTTTTCAAAAGAGACGTTTCTAATTGTAAACCAGTGTTTCACCTTATTTTGTGCCCACAATTCTCCTATTTACCATCAGAGAAACTGCACCTAAAAACACCCAATCTGGGACGCCTGGGTAGCTCAGCGGTTGAGCGTTTGCCTTCGGCCCAGGCTCCCTGCATGGAGCCTGCTTCTCCCTCTGCCTGTGTCTCTGCCTCTCTTTCTCTGTGTCTCTCATGAATAAATAAATAAAATCTAAAAAAATAAAAAATTGAAAAATTGAAAAATAAAAACACCCAATCTCTCATTGTCTCCCAGGTTCCCTGCCTACAGGGCCATCTTTCCTGTGCACACCCTCCCCTGGAAAATCTGTTCTGGAAGACAGAATGTAACCCTTACAAGTGCTTTTTTTTTTTTTTTTTAAGATTTTATTTATTTATTTATTCATGAAAGAAAGACAGAGAGAGAGAGAGAGAGAGAGAGAGAGAGAAGCAGGCTCCACGCAGGGAGCCTGACACAGAACTTGATCCCAGGTTTCCAGGATCAGGCCCTGGGCTGATGGTGGCGCTAAACTGCTGAGCCACCCCGGGCTGCCCCCCTTATAGGTGTTCTATATCCCTTCCTCCCCTCCCTCTGTCATTTCCCCCAAATGCTGCTGTGGGTACAAACTTGCACCTGGTGAGAGTACAAATGATTCAGGGAGGAAATGAAGTCCTGGGAAGAGACAATAAATTGCTGGAGGCTACACAGGAATTTTGTCAGGGTGGCATTCAGGTTCCGGGGGCCTTAGGACCAAGATCTAGGGATTCCCAGGCCCCACCTCCTTCTGCAATTCCATGGCCTGTGATCCTCTGTCCCAAATGCCACACATAATTAGAAGTTATAATCCTGTAATTCCATGATGACATCTTTGAACTTAAATATACCTTAAAACTACTCTCTCTCTCTTTTTTTTTAATGCTAAAAGCAATTTAACCAAAAAATTTTTCCCACTGCACCCTCACCTGTTTCTAGTTCCCCTCCTTTCCTGCCCATCCCCTGGGGCCCCTGCTCACCCAAGAGCAAAAGCCCAAAGGCTGGGTCACGTGGAAGAAGGAAGATGCCAAGATCATTAACCCACTGGGTCGTTAGGCTTTGAACAATTAAGAATTGATTGTCCTGTGGGAAGCAGTTTCACTTCCCTATTTATAATTAGGCACTCTGCCTTCTGTCCTATAAGTTATATATATAAAAAAAAAAAAAAAACCACACACACACAAAAACAACCCAACAATCTCAACCTACTCAGTCAAACCTGGCTAACCTCCAGAGGCTATTTTTAGACTCGCTAGAACCTCCAAGGAGGCAGTGTCACCGCGTCTCCGGGTTCCAAAGCATCTTTGCACCGCAGGCCTGGCCACCTGCGGGCACCGCAGCGCCCCCGCCGTGCGGCCTGGGCTGGCTTTTGAGGGACAGGGCTGCAGGGCTGCGATCCCAGGACCTGCGATCCCAGGACCCAGGACCCAGGACCCAGGACCCAGGACCCAGTGAGGGTCGCGGGGTCGCACCCACCTCCCGGGAGGCCGCACTCCCGGCGGGTCTCTCCAACAAGCAGGTAAATCCGCTCCGGCGCTAAGGGAGCAGGGGCGAGGCCGCGCCCTCCCGCCTGCAGCGTGCACGCCCTCCCCGGGGGCTCGGGGCAGCAAGGAGGGCAACGCGCGAGGTCACCTCCCACCTACAGCTCTCCCCGCCTTCTGGAAGTCGAAGAAGCGGACACTGGAAGCGTCCTGGAGGCAAGAGGAGAACGCCCAGCCACCCGGGGTGGTCCCTTTAGCTCCACCCGCGCCCCGAGCGCCCGGGTCCAAGGTGGGCTCGACCCCAAAGTGCCGCCAAGGCCGCGGCAAATCCCAAAACGGGGGCTTGATCGCTTCCCCGGACGCTCGGGGTCGCCGGCCGGGGCGGCCACGGGGACCCCTCCTGGCCTCCAGCCTCCGCCGCCACCTGCGCGGGGCAGCCCCACGCGCCGCTCCCCGCCCCCGGCCCCAGAAACACCGGGACTGCGCCGCCGGGTACCCGGCCGCCCCGGCCCTCCCCGGAGCCTCCGCCCGGCCCGGCCCGGCCCGGCCCGCCCCAGGCCCGGGCGCCCCCTCCCCCTCCCCCTCCCTCCCCCTCCCCTCCCGGCCTGGTCGACCCCGGCCGCGCGCTCCCGCTGCGCCCTCCGCGGCCTGGGAGCGGGAGGGCTGGAGCTCTCCGCAGGCCCCCGCCCACCCCAGGCCTCCCACCTTCCGAAAGTAGCCGTCGCTCTCCTTCTCCAGCGGCTGGGCGGCCGCGGGCAGCAGCGCGTCCGTCATGCTGTCGGTGCAAGCGCGGAGGGCAGACTGAGCCAGGCTCCGCCGCGCGTCCGCCCGGGAGGGCGCCCGGACCCGCCCCCGCCCTGCCCCGCCCCGCCCCGCCCCGCCCCTGCAGCTCCGCTCCAGGGCAGACGGGGAGCCTGGAGTCCCGGCCCGGTCCGCCGAGGCCCCGCCCCCGGCCACGCCCCCGGCCACGCCCCCGCCTGCAGCTCCGCCCCAGGGCAGGCCCGGAGCCTGGAGTCCCGGCCCGGTCCGCCGAGGCCCCGCCCCTGCCCCCCCCTGCCCCGCCCCCCGCCTGCAGCTCCGCCCCAGGGCAGGCCCGGAGCCTGGAGTCCCGGCCCGGTCCGCCGAGGCCACGCCCCGGCCACGCCCCCGCCTGCAGCTCCGCCCCAGGATAGGCCCGGAGCCTGGAGGCCCGGCCGGGTCCGCCGCGGCCCCGCCCCCGGCCCCGCCCCCGGCTCCGGATTGGCCAGGCGGAGCCGCGCCCCGGGCCCGAGGCTCGCGGCGGGGAGACCTGGGGCCCCCCGGCGCCTCGCTCGCTTTCTCGGAGCCTCGCGGCCCTAATCCGGGCTCCGATGCTGCTGTCAGCCCTGGGGCGCAGAGGCGGGCCGGGGCCTCCGAGGCCGCAGCGAGCCCGCAGCTGGGGGCCCGGCGCCCTGTCTGGAGCCCCGGGGGGCGTGCGGTGCGCCCCGATGAAGTCGTGCCCCCTCCCTGGAGGAGGAGGATGCTCGGGGACCGAGAGGGCGCGGCGGGAGTGCCTGCTGGACCCTGGGCCGAGCGGTCAGGAACAGCGCCCGGCTCGGGGGCCCGGGACCCTGTCGGGGGCCCTGCAGGCCTTAGCTTGGCCACTCAGACCTGCCGGCGTGGCGGGCAACCCCATTATTCCCCCACCCTCGCCGCGGAGCCTCGGCGGATCCCTGGGGTCGCGCCCCGCGCTGGGGGAGCCCCAGAGAGTCTTGTGCCTGAGAGACCCGGCGGATGTCCTGGGGTGCCTTTAACTACCACTTGGGACCTCAGTTTTCTCAGCTGCAAAATGGGGTCAGGTCGTGCTCTTTCGAACTGGCCAAAGCTATTGCGACAAGTGCATCTTAAAGCCCTTAGGCTGGCTTAGGAGCGAAAGGGGGACCCCTGGACTCACACCACCGTCCCACCCACCGACGCCCCGTTGACCCGTGGCCTCCGGGGGCAGATGCCGGGCGGTCCCAGAGCCCAGGCCCTGAGGCGGGAGCAGGAAGCCCTCCGCCCGGGGAGCCCCGCCCCTCCCACCGAGGTCGTGCGGTCCCTAACCCCTCCCCCAACCGGGGGCCGCTTAAGCGCAGCTCCTGCTGCGTTCGGCCGTCGCCATAGGTGTCACAGGTAGAACAGAACACAATCTGCTTTCAAAGCGAGCCAACTATTTCCTTCTCTCCAAAAACAAAAGAAAAAAAACTGGGGTGGGGAGCAGCGGAGAAAAAGGAGGGCAAGTGTGTGCATCAGGAGTTGTTCAAGAGTTTTATTGATTTTTTTAAAAGAAGTATATATTTTTTGAAGTATATTTATTAGGAAGATAAACTCCAAATAATCACAAGTAGTTCTGTTGCATGTTAAAGAGTTTTAAAATAAATAGTGGCAACAATCAAGGACTAATGATCAAGCAAATGCAAAACAAAAACAAACAATACAACCAACCACACACAAAAAAACAAAAAGAACCCCTAAAACAAAAAACAAAACACCCTTCTCATCACTGCGGGCAGATTTTGAGGTGCCGCACAAGAAGAGGCATTTCCAGAAAGGACTGTTTTGATTCTAAAAAAAACAAAAAACAAAAAGAATCTGAAGAGTCCTAACCAGTTCAGGGCTAGGACAGGTGTTTGGGACGCTCTGACTGATGCAAAAACTCCCTGAATCTCTTAAGGTGAGAAATGAATCTTAAACTAATGTCAACCTATGTTGGTCATCCTATAATAAATCCATTGCCCTGGAAAGGCACCATGCCCGGGCTGGGGAGGGTTTGTTTGTTTTGTTTTTTAAGATTTTATTTATTTACTCATGAGAGACACAGAGAGAGGCAGAGACCCAGGCAGAAGGAGAAGCGGGCTCCCGTGGGGAGCCCCATGTGGGACTGGATCCCAGGACCCCGAGATCAGGACCTTGAGCCAAAGGCGGACGCTCAACCACTGAGCCACCCAGGTGCCCTCCATGCTGGGAGTTTAAAAACAGTCCCTTCCGTTTCAGGGAGCTTAGGGTGGCAGGTCACTCTCTTACTACTAACAATAATAAAGTTAATAACAGAACCTCTGCTCTAGCCAGAAAGTTCACAGAGATTATGTTTCATTTTCATGATCCTTCTGCAAATGAAAGGATGAAATAATTTCCATTTGACCCAGAAGACCAAGGTTCAGCTAGGAGAAGTAGGCAAGGGCACACTCCCTGTTAGTGGCTCTAAGATCGGTTTTGATTCAATGGCTTTAGTCATTCCCTATCACATTCAGATTTTTGTCATCTCCTACCACCTTGAAACTCCAATTGCCTTTGTCCATATATGTGTCACATATATGAACGATGTCACATTTGTCCACATATGTCCTCCAATGGCACATCTATGTGTCACACTATTACTGACTTAACAGTCTTCCTTAAAATTACTCATTTAAGGGGCGCCTGGATGGCTCAGGGGTTGAGTGTGTCTGCCTTCGGCTCAGAGTGTGATCTCTGGGGTCCTAGGATCGAGTCCCACATTGGGCTCCTCACAGGGAGCCTGCGTCTCCCTCTGCCTGTGTCTCTGCCTCTCTCTGTGTGTCTCTCATGAATAAATAAATAAAATCTTTAAAAAAAAGGAATTACTTTATTTAAACAAAGTTTATTTGAAAAGACAACTATGTCATAACCATTAAGTGGGAAACCAGAGGTACTTTGCCCTATGGGTTAGATACACATAAAAGTGAAACAGGGGGAGCGCCTGGGTGGCTCTGACTTCTTTGGCAAAGATCATGATCTCAGGGTCCAGGATGGATCCCCATGTGGGGCTTCTTACTGAGGTGGAGCCTGCTTGAAAGTCTCCGTCCCTCTCCCTCTGCCCCTCCCACTGCTTGCATGCTGTCTCTCTCTCAAATAAAATCTTAAAAACAAAACAAAACAAAAGTGAGTACAGGAGCACCTGGGTGGTTCAATCAGTTCAGCTTTGGGCTCTTGGTTTCGGCTCAGGTCATGATCTCCCCACTCAGGTTGTGATCTCTCAGTCATAGAAGCAAGCCCCACGTGGGGCTCCTCACTGAGGTGGAGCCTGCTTGAGATTCTCTCTTCCTCTCCCTCCCCCCCCACACCCTCCCCGTTCATGTGTGCACTCTCTCTCTTTAAAAAAAAAAAAAAAAGTGAATACGGTGAAAACCAAAATCTGTTACTTAATATAGCCTGATACCATTGCCTTCTGAAGCTGCTTTTTTAATCAAAAAGAAGAGCAAGAGAAAGAAGCATAGTGTTAAAAACACACCAGCCCACCCTCAGGCTATCTCCTGGGCATCCACAGAGGAAAAGGAGTACTTTTCTGAGTGTCTCTCCGTGGGGCTGTGCAATGATCAGGTATCTCAATCGTTCTCATGGCTCATTACAGGGGGGGCCCATGGCCTGAACCCCATATCTCTGATCCCGCTATGATCAGGAAATGAGAATTGATGTTGCTGACCCAATGGGAGAGTAACATGGAACCTTCCATTTGTCAACCCGCTGGTGGTATGCATCGTAAGAACCACCAAGGAGCCCCTGTGCTCCTAACAAAAGAGTTGGGGTGGGAATTTCTGAAATAGGCAAAAGGTTAAAACCTGACCTGCAAACAACTGTTTTGTCAAATCCCCACATTACCCTCTGGCTGAGGTCAGTGGTTGGCTGTCCAGGAACCCAGTTCCTCCAAGTAAAACACAAATCCCACCACCTAATACCTGCTTGTTGACAAAAAGAATCATTGGCTTCTCTGATATATATCTCCTCTTGGAGAATCCTATGAAATGGGCTGAATTAAAAGCAGAAGTTACAAGATAATCCTTACATGACTAAAATTCATTGTAAATTATAGACCAGATTTTGCAATTTTTATTTAAAAATTCTTAGAAACTGGGCAGCCTGGGTGGCTCAGCGGTTTAAGTGCCTGCCTTCTGCCCAGGGTGTGATCCTGGAGTCCCAGGATCGAGTCCCACATCAGACTCTCTGCATGGAGCCTGCTCCTCCCTCTGCCTGCGTCTCTGCCTCTGTGTGTGTGTGTCTATCATGAATAAATAAATAAATAATCTTTAAAAAAATAAATAAAAATAAAAATTCTTAGAAACTGGGGGCACCTGGGTGGCTCCGTTGGCTAAGTGTCTGCCTTTGGCTCAGGTCATGATCCCCATGATCCTTTGGCTCACTGAGGAGCCTGCTTCTCCCTCTCCCTCTGCCTGCCGCTCCCCCTGCTTGTATTCTCTCTCTCTCTCTCTCTCTCTCTCTCTCTTCCTCTCTCTCAATCTCTGTCAAATAAGTAAATAAAACCTTTAAAAAAATAAAAATTCGTAGAAACTGAAGCCATATGGTGCCATGGAAGTGCACCAACTACAGAGGCCACATCAGGCTTGGCAGGCCCTGCTACTGAGTCACGTTGGCCAGATCCTATAACCCCCTTGTGGCTTCAGTTTTCCTAGTTATAAACTATGGTCTTACATGTAGCAGCTGTTTATTACATACTTACTATGGCAGGCACTGTGCTATGTATGCATTTTGTGTGCATGATCTCAGTGGTCCTCCCACAACCCTATGGGATGAGTACTTTACCATCCCCATTTTACAGAGGAAGAAGCAGAGGCTCAGAAGTCATGAGCTATACCATGTACAACACTACATCACACCATAGAAATGCAGGCATGTGTTGTGTTCATCATAAAACATGTACAGGAGGGGCACCTGGGTGGCTCAGTGGATGAGCATCTGCCTTTGGCTTAGTTGGTGATCCCAGGGTTCTGGGATGGAGCCCCTCGTCGGGCTCCCTGCAGGAAGCCTGCTTCTCCC